ATTTGTTCATGTGTGTTTATGTCAAATGTGAATTTAAATTGTTTGCAATTAGTTACGGTTCATTACAGATGTTTATTATGATAAAGCCGAATGGTTTTCCGGGGGGAGTGCTACGGCGGCTGAAACACCGTAAAGAATGATGAAAATAACATTTTGACGATGGGTAGATTCTTGTGCGTGGTATTCTCTCTTCTGTCTTTAATCTGATCTTTGTTCATCTGTACCATTATTTATTATTTCTGTGAAACATAACAGTTTGGATTTTCGTTTGATACCGCTCGGTTGAGCAATAAAACTTGTTCGTTCACCGTTGTACGGTCCGCTTATTGAGGATCACGGTCAAGTATGTATATGAAATTTATTGTATCATTGTATACTTCAGATACCGTATTACACGTGATTCTGCTGTTGATCGGTGTTCCCTGTGTTCGTATATTGTTCGACGTTTCGGGCAATCGTTGGGTTTGTGGTAGAGAAACGTACGATTTGCGGGATCACGAAGCGTTCGCTTGAACGGTACGCGTATAAGACAGTTCCAGCGGGCGGACGTAACACTCTCGACACATCTTCAGGCGTTCTTGGACGCCATATTGACGAAACTTATCGCACTGGTCCAAATAATGGTGTCCGCCGCAACACGAGCACCTTAAGTAAGACCTTTTGGAACCAGACGTAGCGAGAATATGAGCTGAGGAACTTCGAGGTCTAGAGTTGCCAACTTTGTCCACGATAGTTGAAGTCCCGGTAGTTCGTCTCGGTGCGAAGGAGAGAAAGGTGTCCACGACGTCGGCTGTCTCCTCGACAAATTCGATTAGATTCAAAATTTGTGGCTTTCTGTTAGTCCTCATGCACCTAGCGGCGTGTTCCGCCCACTTAAACTAAGTGTGAGTGGGTAGACGTCTCACTATGGCACCAATAGTCCGAGAAGCATTTATGTCTGATTCATACTTTAATTGCTTCAAGGTGGTGTAGCAGGTACGGAGCTCCCCAGCAAGTCTCGATAGGGTTGCGAAATCGTTTGATCTGATTGCGGGGCCATCCGTGAGGGCATCGATGTGCGTCCTGGCTATCATGTGTGGCCTTCCGAACCGCTTTCGCAAGATGTTTAGAGTTTCGGTAAATCCCTCCTCAGGATCCAGTATTAGGCAGCTATTGATGGCTCTTTTGGCCTCGCCGGAACAATATTGGACCAGGTAGGATTGCCTGGTTGTTGAATCAGCTGTAGATTTTAGGACATTCGCCTCGAAACAGCGCATGAAGACCAAGGAGCGGGCAGGATCTTCCTCGAAGGTCACCAGGTCTCGTTTAGAGAGGTTGATAAGCACGTTGCCAAAACTGTCAGTTCCTCGAAATGCGACCGGTGATCGACTGGTGGTAGCTGATCCGTCCAGGGTTTGAAATTCAGGCATCTGGCATGCAGCGCTTCCTTGCCGATACTACATCTCGGATTGGACAGCCGCTTCACAGAACGGTTTCATTGAGTCCGGTTTCAGTGTGATGTCGGGGGCAAATTTTAATCTTGAGAGGCTTGGCTTCACGTCATCTTTATCCTCGTGATGCACCAAACAAACCTCACGTGATGTGACGTTTGAACCCGAAGCAATACGCATGGTTGTCAGCTCCAACTCCAGCTGTCTGATTCCCTCTTCCGCCTGTTCCAGCTGGCAAATCGCCGTGAACTTCTCATCATCAGAAAGTGAGGGTGCATTGCATTCAGGAGTAGACATAATGTCCTCTAGTAAACTTTGTTACGGCAACGATAACAGATATAACGTAAAACGAAATTTGAATTGCGCTTAAGGACTCTGCGAACAACAAACAGCTAACAGCAGGAAAACAACGCGTAATGTAGGACAAATGAGCTAAGTCTAACGACGGCAGCTAGCAGTAAACAGCGATCCTGTGAATCCAGACTAAACGCACGGTTTGGGCAGAAAAAACGGTTTTAGGCAGCAGTAATATTATTGAACGTGGTTCTATAAATAATTACAGCATCAAATATATAAAAAGTAGGCACTCGCGACCAGATTGACACGACGTCGATTTAACTAGCGCGTCAAGGTCAGAATAGAAAATCAACAATTATAAAGGGCAGTAACGTGGTTAAACAGAAATAGAAAAAGAGGGAAAGCATATAAATCTTAGGTCTCGTATAGAGCGCAACGAGTTGGGATGTCGTGTGACGCAAAAATAAATAAATGTTAAAGTTTGGTTGATAAAGAATTCACAAATCTTTCACAATTATCATCATCCACCTTGTAGCATAAGAAACGACAACGCCTGACTTGAAAACTGCCTTCCTTTTCACAACGGTTGACCCAGATTGGTCACATTGTCATCAGTTACCGCTGAAGGGGATCAATTCTAGACTGCTGCTCTCACTGGTCAATAGCTGTGGATACAAACCACGTCTTGTTACGAGCCAAATTCTCCCTACACCTGGCAAGGAACCGCAGAAAAGCCGCCGACAACGGATACCCACTATACAACGTCAGCGACTCCTGCAAATCGGCCTTCGAAACGGAGCTCTCCAATCGTCTGTCAGTTCGACCACCAATTGAAGAACTTAATGAACATTGGATGCAAATCAAGGAAGCCATGCAGATATCGAATAAAACAACGACGGACTCTGGCACATGTTGAAAACATAAACGATGGATCTCGTCGACCTCGGCTGCCCTGATGGACACCCATAGAACCCTTCCTCCGGCTGCCACATATGACAGCGCGTAAATCCCTTAAACGCCAGCTCATCAAGAGTCTGAGGAGCAACCGCGAGAAGTGGTGGGTAGAAAAGTGTAAAAATGGTGAAGGCTGCGGCTATCGGCAATAGTCACAATCTTTTCCGTCTATTTGGGAATACAGGCTTTAGGAAAGTAGACGTGAGTGAGGTAATTGAGGAATGCAATGACACACTGATTCACGATCAGCAACGCCGTCTTGACAGTTGGGCTGAACACTTCAAGGCTCAGTTCAACTTGTCCCCTTCGGCATCTTATCTTTCACTCTCCGCCTCGACTGGACAAATACTCCCAGTTGATNTTGAGGAATGCAATGACACACTGATTCACGATCAGCAACGCCGTCTTGACAGTTGGGCTGAACACTTCAAGGCTCAGTTCAACTGGCCCCCATCGACAGCTTATCTTTCACTCTCCGCCTCGACTGGACGAATACTTCCAGTTGATGCTAGTCCTCCATCTGAAACGGAGGTTTCTCGGGAAATAAGGTATATCAAAAGGCATAAGGCTTCCGGCCCTGATGGGCTGTCCCCATCGGTTTTTAAGGATGGAGGTTCAGCCTTGGTTTTAGAAATGAAAAAACTCCTAAGCTCAGTGTGGGAGAGGGAAAAGGTTCCAGCTGAACGGTGTGAGACGGTAATCATACCGATTTACAGGAAAGGTTCAGTTCAGTTCAGCCAGAGATCCTCAATCCTTGACTTAGCTATTTCTCAAGCAAGGTGAGATGTTGTTAGTCTCAGGGTAGAGGTTCTCCTAGGCAGAAGCGACCACGCGGTCCTTCAGCTAAAAGTACTGGTTTAGTACACTAAGCCAGATATCAAAATGGTTCGCTTGTACGGGAATGTTCAAGAAGAGAGTCTTCGAGAGGCAGCGTTAGGCTTAAGCTGGGAACCGTCAACAGCTGATCCTGCCATCGAAGAAAGATGGGCTTCAATTAAAGATAGTTTGCTGAGGCTCACCGAAGAGTTTGCACCCCTGAGGCCTAAGAGACTCAAACAACGGCCACCATGCTGGAAACCATGTTTTGGCAGCGCTCTTGCCGCTGGAAGTCGAAAGTGAGCGGTTCATTTCGTATCAGGCATGATGTAGCTACAAGATAGCAAGAAACCATGCGCAGGCTATGCAGCGATGGGCCAGATACGCTATTAGCATGGGATTGCGATAGAAGCGAGACAGAACCCAAAGAAGTTCTACGCTTTCGTCCAATCCCAATAGGCATCAAGAGAGGTTATTGGAACGTTAGAAAGCACTGATGGATGTCTTGCCCTAAGGAATGTAGACAAGGGAAATACCCTTCTGACTTTCTTTCAGGGGGTGTACAGACAGCCAGCAACGTAGGTTATCGCAGATTATTCCAGCGCGACATCACAGCTGACTGAAATAACTGTGACACCGGACGAAGTCCTTCACGAGTTGGCTACCCCGAATAAGTTCAAGGGAGCGCGATCGGATGGCATCCATCCCGCTAGTGTTAAACCTCTAGCGCAGATGCTCCAAGGGCCTCAGTCAAAGTTGTTTCAGGCATTTCTAGATAAAGCCGAGATACCGGGAGATTGGAAAAGAGCGACGGTAGTTGCTCTGCATAAATCTGGGTCAAAGCAAAAAGCCGAAAACTACAGACCAGTAAGTCTGACGTTGGTCCTATGCAGATGCCTAGAAAGTATTTCACGCAAGCATATGGCTGCGTACCTCGTAAGGCATGAGCTACTAATGCCAGCTCAACACGGCTTTATTAAGAGGAAGTCTTGTCTATCGAATCTGCTTGCCTTCCTCGATGAGGTCACACGACGCTTAGACGAGGGACCGCATGTCGNATGTCGATTTCTGCTACCTGGACTTTAGCAAAGGCTTTCAGTCGGTAAGTCATCAAGGGTTAGACCATAAAATGCAACTATTAGGAATTGGGGGAAAAAATAGAAACTGGGTCTACCTCTTTATAACTAACCGTACCTTCCAGGTACATACTTTTATAAGTATTGTGACCCATCTTTCCTTACTTTATATATATCCGATTGTGTTTTCATTCGACTCAATTGGCTCCCCTCCGTGGCACATGCTAACCAGGTAGCTGTTTCTACTCTATCAACTGATGTTCTACTATTACGCTTATCCAACTTCAT